TCAGGCTAATCTCCATTTATTTTTAGTATTAAAAGGCAAGCCAATCAGTTTGTTCATGATTCATTTTGGGGTAATGGTCTGGATGTTTTAACACAAGTTTTCACATATGAAAGTTGATGTGTTCACTCTTGTGTTAATCCTTTGTGGGGAACTCTTCTACATCTACATCATTTTCTGGAATCTTACCTTTCTTTGTTTTTTGCTTTTATTATGTTATTTCCCTCAGATTGTCTTTCTTTACATAATTATTGTTAAATAAAATGACTAAAATAAGTACAAAAAACATTGTAAGTGTTTACAATGCAATATTTAAAAAATGCATTTAATGATCCAACACTGTTTTGATCAGTGATATATTCAATGCTGATTATGTCATCATCAATAAACAGATTATCCAAAGCATTTCTTTTGGCATGTTTGCCACAATGACTATATCTTACAAGAACAGTCACAGCAGCCAGAAAATAAAACAAGCTGAAAAAAAAAAACACAGAACACCATAATGGTGACTTCCAACTTTAATATTTTCAAACATTCATAAACATCTAAACCTCTGTTGATTCTCAATAAGAATGTCTGTAGACTTATACAGAAATAAAGTCAATCTGTTTAGTAATAACTGAAATTGTAATGCTTTTTGTTGCTGTTTAATCCTCGTCTGCTGAGATCTTGAGAGATTTAAAGTGTTTCTGTTGTCTGAGTTTTGTGTTGTAGAGCCTGTGTTTCAGTCTAGGAAGAAACACTGATGATGTGCTGCATTTTGCTTTATTTAAAAGGCAGTAATTCTTGCAGTGATGTTTTTTAACTACTTTATTAAGTTGATTTTAAGTTGACGCTTTTTATTTATTTATTTATTTAAGTTTCAGACATGCACAAAATAATTGCAGTTTAATATATTAAAATTAAAGCAGATGTAGTGTTTTTAATTTTGTGATTGGTCCAGCAAACTTTGTCATCCTCCTTGAATTTATTTCTATTGTATTTTATTTTATTAATTTTTTTTTTGTTTCTTTGCATATTGCTGTTCATGTTCTGTATAGAATATGGGAAAATGTTCGTTTTTTGTTTTAAAATAGTTTATCGAGTTTTATGGCTGAGTGACGTCATCTCCACTTGCTGAGTCCTCCAATCGTGTCTCGCTCAAATCTTAGAACAGCTTTGGATTTGAGCGAGACAGGTATGTTGTAAATGAGCTCTGAAGTAAAGCGTTGAAATATAATAGATTAGGTCAAGATTCTAATCAATATCAGTGGATTACATGTTTTAATGCTGAGATGAGTCACTTAACGTGCTTGAATGTCCATATTTTTGTATATATTCCGAGTTTTGTGTTAATACGTTTTTAATGCGTTGGTTTAAATTGCCGCCCGCGCGCCATTTTGTACGGTGGGTTTCTATAGTTGATTAAAGAGCCCCTATCATACAGCATTCGAAATGTTCCTATTTTTGTTTTAGGAGTTCCCAAAAACAGTTTAACGTGCATGCAAGGATAAAAAAACACTTTATTGGTCTTATAATGTGCATTTATTTTTAACTGATTTGCTCAACGACTCCCAAATGAATGAATGAATGAATGAATGAAGGTTTATTCAGTTACTAAACATAAAACACAATATATATATATATACGTCAAATTCATTACAAACTAAACAAAAAGGTAACCGAACAGGTGTAGGCTGAAGCTGTGGCTTGTTACGCCTACCCTAATTACAAGACAACATCTACCCATCAAAATTTGAACATAAACATATGCATACACACATATACTCGTATATGCATACGTACAAACCTCTGCACTTGATGACAAATATTTATTACTTATATTATTGAAATCTAAGCACAACAATTATGCATAAACTTGTCTTAGACAATTTTTCTTAAGCGTCCGAATATTTGTTAAAAATTCGGATTTTAAACTGTTTTTTAAAGTAATTAATGATTCGTTCGACGAGTCGTTGATTCGTTCGAGTAACAAATGATTCGTTCGACGATTCATTTTCCCAAACACCTCCTTTGAGTGACGCGAATCTGTGGCGATTGGTCAAATGACCCAGTCAGTTGTTATTGGTAAACCGTAGGCAGAGACTGTCCTGAATAAACTGCAGATATGTCATGCTGTAACAAACATTACAACAATACGATCATATGTAATCGTCGTGTTAGACTGAGACCTATTTTCATGTATTTTCAAAGTATATTACAAAGTATTTTATTATATATGCATTTATTATATCTATTTACCTGATTGTGAGTGTGTTTAAGATGTGTTGTGTGTTTAATTCATTTGTGGTATATGTGGTAATGTTTTATGTGGTGCTGAGTGAAATCTGCTACACAGAGCCTATCAAAGTTCCAGCATTCAATACAAACAACTTACAACTTTGAGTAAAACATTCTTAATATTTTGTACATGAATTCAATTAAATTAAAATTTATAAATTTAAGGCAATTGTTTTCCATGTGTTTTCTATTAAATTTAATAAAAACATTTTTCAATATTTGAAAAGTGGCTATTCCTGATGTATTCAGTATATTGTGAAATATTAAGACAATATTCAATTCAATTCAAAGCACTTTATTTGTCCCCAGGGTGAAATTTGAAGGCACATAACAGTAGCTTACATAGACACATTGCACAACCAACACTACATACCACATATCATTATACATAAATCAAATTTGATCAAAAAATTTAATTAAAAAAAACCCATAGAAATCATTAATATATTATTTAATATGTTTTTATGTTGGGTTTTTTTCAGTATATTTAAATCATTTAATATATTGATCATAAATATATGGAAACATATTATCGTTCCTTAACGGCTAATAGAGAAATCCACAATCAGTTGTTTTGCATAGAGACATCAGATAAATTAATTAGTACACCATTCTGTGTAATGATATCGCTGTTTGGCTGATGTCACCATGTGGAAACACACCATTCACACTAAATCTGCATGCACAAAGACTGTGAAGATGAATCAACATCAGCTTTTTCCAAGTGTGCTCTCACAAATGCGATACTGTGAGACATAATAATAAAAAGAACAATGTAAGTAGACTTCATCAAGGTGAGGTGAGCCTCTGAAGTTGCTGCCAAAGGGAAAAGTTGGAAGTTGTTACTACACCATCCGGCCACAATGATGCCATATAACTAATTAAACATTTTGTGTGTAAATGGCAGATATTCTGTTATACAAATATGGGGGATTGTTTGGATATTTTAACTGCAAAATAAAATAAAATGAATTCTGAAATGTGAGAAATGTTATATTTCAGTAAATACTGAAGTCCACTTTGTGTACAGACAGAAGCCATCTTTGGAAAACAGTCTTGACTATTTAAACCACAAATGACGTGCCAAGTGAGCTGAACTGTATGAAGTTCAGCAAACTTCTGAACTGTATGAACGGCATTCGTGGTTTTACTTGTCGAGACTGTCTTCCAAGATGGCTCCTGCCTGTATACAAAGTGGACTGTCTTTATAAAGTATATACACTTACAAAGTTCTCAATGCTTCGTTTTGCTTGTAGGGACCCTCATTATGTTACTGTGTTAGTGTGGGGCTATTTTGAGCCTTGTTAGTGGTATAAACTAGCGAAACTTCTTTTTAATTAGTAAATGCCCCCATTACTAGTTAGTGTTGTCAAAAAACTCGGTACTTCGGTACCAAGTCGGTACTAAAAAAAAAAAAAAATGTTACGGTACCAGCTTTTCTAGGTACCGAGTACCAGGTTAATCCAGTTCTGTTCTAGACGCGATGTCTGAAACGTGCACAGTTGCGTCCTCTTTATAACGCTGATATGGCTCTCTCTCTCTCTGAATCCACTTGTTGAAATGAAAGAAGGAAAGAGCCACATATGGAAATATTTTGGATTAGGCTAATGTCACGTTGCCATAAGAGGCCGATTACATGCAAATTCGCAATTTCAAATATAGGCGTGATTCAAGCGCGCTCCTAATAAAAACTCGTTGGCGTTGCATAGCAACGACAGACGCCGCGTGAGAGCAAGCGCTTTGGAAAGAATAAGCATGCGCAAAAATATAATAAAAAACACGCGCGACATGTGAACGGCCTCTAAAGTGCTTTCGGGGTAGTTTTACGAGTACATGAGCACAGTAGTATCTACCCGACACCAGAGTACTATGGTATTAGTATTGTCATTTAATGTCAGTGCCAGTTCTAGGCGTATTCTTGCCTTTATAACTCAGCAGGTTTAAAAAGCCTTTTTAAAATTAAATATGAATGCAGTTTTAGATTAATAAAAGGACAGTCAAGTCAAATAAAACATGTTTTATGGTAATGCTACAAAGATACCATTCATAAACATTACTTAGTTATCAACACATTGAGTGAACAATATATTTTTACAACATTAATTAATGTTTGAAAATGTTATTTATTACAAACACCTGATTGTTCATGTTTGTTCACTTAATTCATTGTGCATTAAATAAATAATGGATTAAAACTTTACAAACAACTTTAAAAATGTGTTAGTGTATACTATTGTTTATTTTAGGTCATTTTATCTAATCTTTTTCTAAAGTGTTTATAATACAAATGTACAGTTTCCATACTTGTAACCGTGATAAACACTTAAATATATGTAAATTTAAACTAAGCTTTGGTACCGAAATTGGTACCGAGAACCGTGAATTTTAACGGGTATCGGTACCGAATACTGAAATTTTGGTACCGTGACAACACTATTACTAGTGTTATATGCTAAACAGTGAAAGTTTTTAGAGATAAAACTCTTTACATTCGATTATCATGAAAACAAATCTCAGAGAACGGTTGACTAGGTCCCAATGTTTTATTAGACCAAAGGTTCATTGTTCGCCGGAGTTCTCCTTTAAGTAAACTGGATTAAAATAGTTATCAGAGCCAGGAAGATTGTAAAACTCTCTGTAATCTTATCTGTAGGATAATTATCAAAAATCATGCGCGCCCTATGACAAGTACAAAGGTTGTTTTCAACCAATAGCCTATTATAATGCGAAATCACTAAGGATGAATATGATTTCATGTTGGTTGAGCACATTCTTATGCCTTTATGCCTACATTTTTCTGAGGATTCAAAAAGTATCGATAAAACTTGTACATCTGTAGGCCCACAATAGTCGTCGCTGGTTCTCTGACTGAAAAAATCTCTGCTTTTCTGGATTATTCTCTATCCTGGCTGACCCAGGAGTGTTTTCTCTGATGAGGTAAGGGAGATTGTTCATTCGTATTCCTCTAGCCAGTGAATAATCTGTGTATTTTGATATGTGTGGCTTTTGAAGCCATTCAGTAGTTTGTATTTTATGAGACCATTTTTTGTGAAAAGTAATGTTCCGGACTATCCTGCCCCGTCGGTCAAGATAAATGGGGAAATGGATTTTAATTATGAAATGTAATATTTTAAAAAATATAGGAATTCTAGCATTAATATTATGACACTTTAGCAACATTTTAGTTAAGGACAGTCTGTTTTGCAAAGTCATATTTTATTGGGACATTTGACACATTAACCTATGAACTTACCGCGCCCTGAAGAACGGATCTCTACTCAGTCAGTCCCTCCAGGATTTCACGATTTTTTTTTTGTGATTTTTGCGATCAAAATGACTGATTTTGTAGTGGTAATTTCCAAAAATTTGTGAAAAAATGTGCGATTTATATATAACATTTACCATAATAGAATTCAGTCCTTCCAGAAAAACGCGTTCCAGTTTTTTTGTGATTGTTGCGGGCAAAAATTGATTGATTACGCGGCCCGTTTTCTTTAAAAATGCGATGGAATATGCGGGATATTTATGCAATTTTACGCGATGAAATTGCGGGAATTTGCAAAAATTGCGGTTTGATGAAAAAGAGAAAAAAAGTGATTCCCCCAACATCCTGTTCTCACTAGGCTAATGTAAGAGTCATTTCTTATTACTTTTATAAGAAAGCATACTACATCATAGAAAGTGCTGGGAATATTTCATTTCTCATCTTGTTTTATTTCAGACTGTAACGAGTGTAAATAAGGTGTGGCCCCTTTAAGAGCTGCACGCTCCCTGTTGAACTCTCTGCAGTGTTATATGTGCGCCTCGAACACCCCATGTGTGCGGGTAATTTTTGTTTGATGCTACTACTGGCGTCGCGTAATTGCGTCACTTCATAACGTTCCCATGGAAACGGGGAAATGGCTGCTCTTGTGTGAAGCAAACGCAACATTTTCAACTTTCTGCTAAGATACATGTGACTTTTTTTGCAACGAAAATGCGAGGATTATGAAATTATGCAAACCCCGCATATTTTGCACGGAAATCGGCAATTTATGCGGCGAAAGTGCTGCGTATTTGAAAAAATGCGGCCCCCGCATAAATATGCGGACTTTGGCTGATTTTGCATTGAATTCATCGATCGCATAATCGCGTTTTTCTGGAGGGACTGACTCAGTAGTCTAAAGGTATGATTTTTTTTTTGTTTTTTTTCATGTTTAGAGGGATATAAAATTGGTTGTAGTTAGTTGATTATTTCACTGTATTTTTTGTTATCGTTGGCAGTTTAGGCTGTTCAAACTTACAAAGTTTTGCATCTGTTAAATGCCAAGAGTGTTAAAAATGGAAACCAAGAGAAAATTTGCTTAGATGTTGTTGGTGGTGTTTTGACATAATCATCATATTGTGACCTGAGATTTATTTTATTGATTACAGCAGTGCTTTGATTCTACTGCATAAGATCTGCCATTTTCAATATAATAAGAGTAATTTTTCAAAAAGTTGTTCTGATCAAAAACAAATGTATCTATTCTAACTTTTAGACATCACACATCATGATTCTCAATGATTTTGTGATGTTCTGACTTGGTCTGTTTATCTCAATATGCTGTTTGTCACCATTGTTGAGATTCAAATGCAGATTTTTGATGTGTGTGTGTGTGTTTAAACAAATCATTTCATTTTTTTTTTCATGTGCAGAATCTCATGCTGTAACATCATAGACCTGCTGTAATCAATGAAGTACATTTAACACATCACCTACATAGCAGATGCTGGGCTCAGAATGATATCAGTTAATCAGATTGTCATTACCATAACATAATAAACACTTGAACATATTTTCTCTGTGGTTTCTTTGCCATAATAAATGTGTTTTATAAACACACAAGCCAGCCAGAAAAAAAAATTGTTTCAATCATCAAGGGTCAAGAGCCAAACTAAACCAAACACTAATCACCACAATGGTGACCTAATAGTGACGAGTCTTTAACATTAACATTACACTGTAAAAAAAAAAATATTAGTTTTTTGCCTCCTGGTTGCCTTAAAATTTAAAGTTGATTGAACTGGAAAAAGTGAGTTAACACAATGAAGGAGATTGATTTAATCATCAGAAACTCAAAATAAGTTATCTCAACTAAATGAATTATTTAAGTTGATTTGACAAAAGAAAAAATGTTGTGATAAATCTTGAAAATATTTTTTTTTTACAGTGTAGGTGTCTTCACGAATGGTTAATCATCACTCAGTTAATTAATTAATTAATTCATTCATTAACTTTAACACTGCTTTAGTGTTACTTTTATCTCGCTTGAGTGTGGACTCTAATAAACTGAGCAGAGTTAATTTAAAACTGGGGTGTTTGTTAGGCGATTTTCGTCTGATTTTGAGCCGAATCCTGACTCGTGCGACTCTTTTTAAGGTCGGGGCAATTTTCATTTGTCGTGCATCATTTGTTGTACAGTGTATAATACGTCTTCCAAAGACCATCATATTCTGAGGAAACTAATGAATTATTTTGTTGTTAACAGACTGGAGAGTGACGGTGAAGGTGTAAGTTGAATCGATCACCATGAATTCCAGGTGAGTTGAAATCGCGCAGGGCAAATTATTTTGGCCACGATAACCATTAATGTGACAGCCCTAGAGAAAATGATCAAAAATGATGGTGGTGAACAGAGTTTAATATCAATCTAATAGTCGCATACTGATGGCCTGTCACAACTCTTGTCTTGGTCAAGCTCCAACCATTATGTCCAAAGAAGGCTAAAGCATTTTTTTTCCAATGGCCGGCATATTGTTTTAGTTGTTGTCAATGCAAATTTACAAAAGGCATCAGCATAAAAAGGGGCTAAATGTCTATTTCACCCGAAGTACTGCAAGCTATTTTCTTTTTTTCTGGTTGCCAAGAGTTGAAAAATATACAAATTTGGGTAAAATAACAGATTTGCGAACCGTATTTTCATTTTTTGAAGAGATTTCAATCATATTTCAAGAAATTAAAAAAACATAAACAGCGCTCAACAAGTGTCTCAGCTGAAGGGAACAATACATTATTTATCGGCTTTAATATATCGGCGACATTTTCTTACCAGGCCGATAACGATAACATTAAAAATGAACATATATCGTCCGATACAGATATGCTGGCCGATATATCGTACATCCCTAATTAATAGATACAAAAACACTAGCATCCAGCCATCTTCTGTATGTTAAACAGTGACATGTCATGAAAAGTCTGCTGACTTCAAGGTAAATTTGAAAATATTTTAAATGTCAACTGTAATTTGAGTAAAATTTTGTTTCTTTACATTATGTTCATGTTTGTAACACAAAATTTCTGATATTTGCCATGTCTTCCACCAAACAGATCAACTCTGATTCATCAAGGTCCTCCAAAACGATACCATCTTCAAACAGAGAGAAAAGTGCTTGATGATCATGGGAAAGTCAGAAAATGGACTTATGGGGTAAAAGACACCAGTAAACCAAATAAAATTGTTCTGCTTGTGGGAGAAACCGGCGCTGGCAAGACGACTCTCATCAACACCATGGTCAACTACTTACTGGGAGTGAAGTTTGAGGATGAAATATGGTACGAAATCACTGAAGAAGAAGCCAGAGACCAATCAGAATCACAAACCTCTGAAATCACCATGTATGAGGTCTGTCCAATAAAGAGTCCCATATCTCTCACCATCATTGATACTCCAGGATATGGAGACACTAGAGGACTGGAAAAAGATCTGGAAGTTGCTGAGAATTTATCCACACTGTTTCAAAGCAATGATGGCGTTCGAGAAGTCGACGCTGTGTGTTTTGTGACTCAAGCGGCTAAGAATCGTCTCTCGGACAGACAGCATTACATCATCAGTTCAATTCTGTCTTTGTTTGGAAAAGACATTGTGAACAACATTGTGTTTCTGATCACACACTCTGATGGTCTGCCACCCCAAAACGTCCTCGGCGCCATTAATAAAGCTAGAATCCCCTGCAGACGAGACCACAAGAACCAGCCTGTTCATTTCTTATTCAACAACCGGCAGGCGGACGCCCGTCACAATGAGCGACGTTACCTTCGTGCTCAAAGAGATGCCTGGGAGGACAGCATGGACGGCATGAAGCATTTACTGCAGTCATTGGATGAAAAGAACAGAAGAAGTTTAGAGTTGACTTCAAATGTCCTGATTGAGCGCATTCAATTTGAAGCGTTTATCTCCAACTTACAGCTGCGAATCGAAGAGAAAGAGTCGAAGAAGTCTGAAAAACTTCAGATCCAGCAGGTAATGAGACAAAACAAGAAAAAGATTGAGGAACGTAAAAACTTCAGCATTAAATTCAACAAGACTGTCAAAATGAAGGTTCCCATTGAAAGCGCTTCATGGAAGAGCAGGAAGGCGACGACCTGCACCGTCTGTGAGGAAAACTGCCATGAGTTTGACTGCTGGTGGGCTTTTAGTCCCAGCAGATGTGAAGTCATGCAAAACGGCTACTGTACCGTGTGCACAGGGAAGTGTCACCACAGCAAACACGTCAGAGAAAACAAAAAATACATCATCAAAAACGCGAGTTTGACGATAGATTTTGATGATTTTAGAAAGGAATATGAAAGAGCCCAAGTACAATCCAAGAGATTTTCAGTTGTAATGGATGATCTCGACAAAGATCTACAGGATATTGATGACCAAAAGTCAATTCTTCTGTTTAATGCCTACAAGACCATTAGGCAACTGTCTCGGATCGCATTAAAGCCAGACTCGGCCTTCACTCTTCAGCATCTGGACTTCTTTATCCCTAAACTGATGGAGGCTGGGAAAAAAGACTGGGTCCGAGAGCTGGAGGAAATGAGGAAAACCGCTGAAGCTGAAGAAGCCAATAAAGACGCTCTGAGTTATTTGAAAGCTGGTCTAACAAAACTTTTCATTGGTGGGCAATCACAGGCATAGCGATAAGGCAGGAAAACAATAAAGAAAACATGTGCTTTTGTAAAAATAAAGAAAACAAAGAGGATGCGCTTTCTGCCATTTCTGTCGAAGTGAACTGGAGCATATCTCGAAAATATATGAAACTCTTGTGTATAGGCAACTTTGCTTAAATCGTTCTTCTTCTTAAATCTTTAGAAATAAATCTTTGGAAAGCTTGAAATGTCTATTAAATCGATTTGAATTGAAAACAAATGATCTTTATTTAACTGAAAAACAACAAACAGTTCACCATTGTGTTAATTCTGGTTGAGCCCTTCTTTATTTTATGTCCATTAAATTCCTGTTAACTCCTTTGCTTTTATGTCGATTATCGGTGCGTCTCTTTGTAAAAACTCTTGTTAAATAAAGCAACAATAAATACAAAAGTAATTTTAAGACATTGCAACTGCATTTTTTTATTGGTTTTGTATTTCAGCCAAGCTATGACCAAGTCAGCAGACCTCCTTATCTTCAGGTTAGTGACAAACAATTAGTGAAAGGATGCAAAAAGCACACACTGGATTGTTTGTGATGTCACAGGAGGAGCGCCAGGAAGTATAATGGTGCGTTCTCTTCTAGCCAATGAACCGACTCGGACCTCGGATGAGACGTCACATCCACACTTCAAGCGTTCTATTATGTTTTGCGCGTCCGAGTCTGAGAAAAAAATGGACGCCACCCGGAAAGCTGTTGTAATGGTAGCACTGGCCGAGTACCTGGTTATGTGTATATGCAATACTTGCCTGCAGTTATATTAAAAGGGTGTAATGTGATACTGTGAAGAGAGAAGAGCCCCTGAAGAAGTGACAGAGAAAGCAGGAAAAGAAAAGAGTGCCCAAATAAATAAAAAATACTTTTTATTAGGTGACATTTATACAGTCTGTCATAATTTACAATACCAACCTGAAATTTCCTTCTGAAAATTATCATTTAAAGAATGAAATGTGTCATGAGGAACAACACAGTATATCTGATTAGATCAGAGTAACAATTCTTCAGACATGAACTATATATAGAAAGGGTGAGATTCATTTTTTACATTTTGTTTATTTAGATATTTTTGAAAACTTTGTCAAATTTCACAAGTTTAAATACTTTTGACAAAAGGCCACTGGCGGAAAAAATGGTGTCTAAAGAAAAAATGTTTTCAAGACCAAATGATATAATGTGTGCTGTCTCCATCGTCAGATCATCTATGAGTCTTGGATAAATGAGCATGATGAGTGCAACCAGAAAAAGTGGGTGTTTTTCAGTAAGGCTCACATCTCCTCCCATGTTTTCAGCCCTCTTCAACTTCATTACAGCGTCTTGAATGTTCATCTTGAGTAGGTCTACAATCACGTACTTCACTCGAAACTGATTAATGAGCACAGCGTCGCCTTCGGTTGTCTGCTCTTGTCTTGATGATTTCATACAAGCAAGGATATTTTCCAGATATGACTTGTATGAGTCTATTGCCTTGTCAGCCTTTTCCAGGTCAGTCAATGCTTGAGCAATATAGCCAGTGTTTTTCTCAGTAATAGTGGCCAGTGCACGATTATAAAGAGGAATGATATTCCCAGATGTACCGCCCTCCAGTGCTTTGGTGTACATCTCAATGCTCTCTGCAAGGCGTCCCCTCTCAAGAAGATTGTTTCCAGACCTGATGTAATAATAGACCATGGAAGATGGGGACTCTCTGCTCAAGAGTTTCTGCTTTGCAATCTTCAAGTCCATCTTCAGCTGTTTCTTCAATGTTTCAATGGGTTTTTCCTCAGCGAAGTGCATCAAGAGCCACAAACCCCAGCACTCGTGAAGACAGGACACAATTACGTCACGCTGGTCAGAGAATACTTTGTTTTCATAAACATCGTCTAAAATGTCAAGGTAATCAGAAAAAAGCTCTTCTTCTTTTAAGATTTTTGGAATGTCTTTTTCAAGGAATCTTGAGAGTCTGATGCTTACCATAATAGTTCTGGCATCCTTTGCCTCTTTCAGATTGCTTTCCATAAATGTCACTGATTTTGTTGTTAAGAGGCCTTTGAGAGCAGAGACCATGGTGTCTTGATTTTGAGAGCTGTTATTTTCCAGGTAGCGATTAACATTTTCCTCAAACAGACTTTCTTTGCAACCACCTGACATCAATATAGTTTTAAGATGGTTCAGACGGCTGAGTAAGCTGGTTAGCGATGTGTTTAAGTCCATCACTAATTTCACCAAGTCAGAGAAATGACTGGCGCACATGATGAGTTGAGCAGATCCTGGACTCCCTTGGCGAGCCGTTCGTCCAAACGCTTGCTGCTCAACACGGATGTTCAGAGGTAAGAAGGTTTGCACCACAAACAGTCCTCCTGCCTCATTTACTCTTTCACAGACCTTTAGGTCTGTACCTCGACCTGCTAGATTAGTTGCAATGATGACGTTCCCAACTTGGACTGTTGAATCTATGATTTTAGAGTTATCCATGTTGTTGTTTACATAGAGTTTTAGTTTGTCTGATGGGATGGTGTCTTCAAGGTTCTCGTAAAATTTTAGTGCACGATTGATTGTCTCACAGATGACGAGAGCTGCTCGAGGACCTCGATAGACTGTGGAGGTCACTTGATCCTGAACGACTTTACAGACAGTCTTGATCCAGTCGTCCTCTTTAGGTACTATCACACCTTCCAATTCATAAAGTTTCCTTCGTTTAAATGAGGGAATCTTGCAGACGTCAATTCCATTGTAGAGCTGCTTCAGCATCTCAAGCTCTGATTGGTCCCCCAAAGTTCCTGTTATCCCATAGATCTGATTTTTGTATTTCTTGAATAAACCCACATTAGACATGAAGTTTGTTACAAGACTCATGTTGGATAGTTTAGTTTGGTGTTTCATCTCCAGGAACTGCTGAAGTCCTTCCCCCCATTTCATGTTGTTCTGCACAATGCCAGTGGAACTGTAATCGACAGGAGCGACTCCATCTCCATGAAGGATGTATTCGTGGCCCAGAGTCATTTTGGTGGCTTGCAGAGCACTTTCAATCCAGGTTTTTACCTTGCCATCGACGAGGTCTTGAAGGCCTGGGATACGAGATTCAGTTTGTTCCCCTGTTGATTCAGACTGATAAACCATTTTTATACGTTTCCCTAGTGCCGTTACTAGTGAGTCTTCTTCAAAGTGCACAACTCGACATTTTCCATTTCCCAGAAGAAGAATTGATATTCCTTGTCTGTCATTTGTACCTGTAGGATTAATTTCATTGAGTTTCCTTAGAGTCCTATCAGGCGCCTGCTGGTAGAGTTTGATTAAATACTCAGGGAAGTTTCCCACAAACATGGTTAAAAATGCCACCATTTGTACAACACTTGCATTATCTAGTCTTTTGAGAACGTTTGTCATGTTTTCTTCCGTTTGCATTGGGTTTAAAGACATTAGTCCTGCATCCACAGCTGTCTGCACAATACTGAGTTGATCAATGTTTTTATTTCCATGCATGATTTCAGACAGAAGCTGAGAGAAGAGCTGAACGTGCCCTAAAATCTCTCCGGTGTCTAAACACTCCATCTGGTTGATGACAAACCAAATTTCAGCCAGTGTCCCATTTAACTGTTCCATGAGAGGCATCCTACTATTCAAGTAGACCACTTCAGGACCTTTGTCCAACATCAGCGAGTCCACCTCATCCACTATAACACACTCAAACTTTCTCTCAGGTCTCACATCTTTTCTGTGGAAACGTTGTCTCAGAAAATCGCCCGCAAAGCCGTCAGTCGTGCCGTAAACCACCTTACATTCATAGCACTCCTTCAGCTCATTGTCTTTTGTTTTATTGGTGTTGGTATCAACTGTAATATTCAGTTCATTATAAAATGCAGACCATTCTTCTTTGTCTCTTTCAGCAAGTACAGGTGAACTGGAGATGATATCAGGGGTTTTTCCCATCATGGCCTGATATGCTGCGAACATCGCCACGATGCACGACTTTCCTTCTCCCGTTCCAACCTGAACCAGCCGACTTGATTTAGAAAGAACGAGAATGCACCAGCTCACCATCTGAGTCACTCGAGGTTTATATTTCATTGACTTTTCTACGGCTTTGCAGAGCTTAAACAAACTTTGTTTGTTTTCTTCTAGATGTGGAGCTGTAGAAGCTGACAGACAATCAGACACAGAGGACACAATATCTTTCACTTGTGCCATAGTTTGTTCATCAATATCGGCTTGGTCACAGATTTCCTTCACAATCTCATCTAGTGTTTTCTCATCAGTGTTTTTGGCTATTTGATTAATTTTGGCCTCGACGTGATCCACAATGTTAGTGTCATTTAATATCAGATCTGATGCACTTATTTTGTGAATCTCCACTTGATGAAGGATTGTCATCATCCATTTTCGAAAATCTTCATCTCTGCCATTAAATTCTTTCACGAGGGCTTTAAACAACTTAACGACATCTTCTATTTCCCATTTTCCATTCTTAAGCAAGGAAAGCAGCCGTGATGAAAGCGATCCATTTCCAGATGCTTCCATTTTCAAAACTCACTCTTAATATTTTTCACATCACACCATCACTGTCTGTGGTTTAAAAAAATACATAATTAAACTTCTGCTTAACTAACAATCAAAAGCAGACAAAATTATTAATACACAGGATAATTAAGATCACTACAACAATAGAGTTTATTTTACTTAAAGAAAAACAGTTTGCTTGTTCTAAAAGTCACAAAGCATTTTTTTTTTATTATTATTCAAACATTTCTCTGTGAAAGCATTAATTTTGAATACTTACACCTTTCGCGACCATGTTGTTTTGGAGTTGTTACAGCAAACTTCTTCTGTTGTCATCTGTGAAAACGTCTCATGGGAGTTTCGTTACCTTAGTATTAGACGACAATGTCTCACATGATCTGGAATTTCCAGTTGGCATAATATCAATCGCCTTCAATTTGTCACGTGATTTGAAAGAACACAAAGTGCATGCTATTCTTCATTCATTAAAAAGAGAACTGAAACTAAGAACACTTGATTTTAAATTATGACTAAAAAAAATCAATGATAGCCTAATTCAAATTTTAAACAATTGTGCATGCAAAGTAATTGCAGGCTAAACTAAAACTTAGTTTTACCTTCTTAGTTTGCTCACTGAATTTATTGTGATGCTAACTGTCAGCACATTCTTTCACTTTCAGTTGTATTGGTAAGTACCAAAATTCATGTGATACAGTTGATTAGTTGTGTATACAGGACTGCAGTTCAGGTGAGGTGTGGTGTGATGGTGTGTTTCTTCACCGACAGGTTATTATTGGTGTGCAATGACTGCTAGGCTGGTTTCTTTTTCCCCATGTTTTTCAGAATTTCTTCATTCCCAGCAAACAAGCTTCTTTGGGGCCTGAATGGGGCCCTTGCGGGCAGCCCACTGCGGGCCCAGATACCGGCGTGAAATGCGGGGCACGTGTGGGCCCCACACTTCGGGACCCAGGTGGGGCCCCAGTGGGACAGCCCACAAGTGTGGGCTGACTGTGGGCAGCCCATTGGGGCCAGTTGTGGGCCCACGGTAAACCCTTATAGGGGCCCATGTGGGGTCATTGCGGGCAGCCCACTGTGGGCCCAGATACCGGCGTGAAATGCGGGGCACGTGTGGGCCCCACACTTCGGGACCCAGGTGGGGCCCCAGTGGGACAGCCCAAAAGTGTGGGCTGACTGTGGGCAGGCCCACAGTAAGTAGAGTGGACCCCATTGGGGCCAGTTGTGGGCCCACGACAAACCCTTATAGGGGCCCATGTGGGGCCATTGTGGGCAGCCCACTGTGGGCCCAGATACCGGCGTGAAATGCGGGGCACGTGTGGGCCCCACACTTCGGGACCCAGGTGGGGCCCCAGTGGGACAGCCCAAAAGTGTGGGCTGACTATGGGCAGGCCCACGGTAAGTAGAGTGGGCCCCCATTGGGGCCAGTTGTGGGCCCACAGTGGGCTGCCTGCAATGGCCCCAAATGGGCCCCTATAAGGGTTTGCTGTGGGCCCACAACTGGCTCCAATCGGGGCCCACTCTACTTACCGTGGGCCAGCCCAAAGTGTGGGCTGACTTTGGGCTGGCCCACACAAATTATAGCAGGCTGGATGTGGGCACACTGTGGGTGCAGTTGCAAAGTTTGAGCACACAGAGTAGGTACACCCATATTACTATATGCAGTACAATTGGACTTGTTAGCAGCAATAAATCGAGGGTCATGTTTTTTCCCCAAATAATTTATTTATATTTAATAATAATTATAATTAATGATAATACAGTTTAAAACAGCAATAATCACAGAAAACAGGGGATTGAAAATTAAAAATCAATCCTCAGGGGCAACAGTAGTTCTGGCCCTTCCTTGCCTTCCCCCATCTCTGTCCCAGGGATTACGGAGCCATGTCTTCATATTGGCTTCCACCTCACATGCAGTGGCTTGACTGCTTTTTGTCACAGCATCTAAATGAGAAAGGAACAATTGAAATACAAATGTTAAAAACAAAATAAGGGTTGTACTGTTGAACCATTTCAACCTAAGAAAGTTTTCAACCTGCACTTTGAATGAGGAAACGTCTTCTGATTGTTCCAGGTGCTATTTATAAATGCTCAACTAAGAGAATGACTGAATAGGTCAATGAGAGAGCTGCGGTTTATAATAACATTTAGTTGTAAGTCATTTTGGTTGGTTAATGATGAACTAAGCTTTTACAAAATATTCATAAATGATTAGCAAGTGATATACTAACATTTTATGTATGTTTTGTCAAGTCATTTACAAGTCATTAGTAAATGATTAAATGATTTTTTATGAAACATGATTATGCGTTTCATAAATGTTTATAAGTGATGTAAATTATTGTATGTTTTGTAGATTCAGTTATAAATAATTTACAATTGTTTAATAAAGGTTTTTATTTTCTCCCTACTTATTAAAATTTAAATTTAAAATTACAAACAACCACCAGCCTGAAAAACATGTTGTATGAAGACTGTTTAAAATACCCCTCCTAATCCTCACAGAATTTGCAAGACAGAACTGATAACACCTGGGCTTATCGATACTGCGGTCTTCCTTAAAAAAAGCTTGTAATTATTTTTTTTGTACTCGTAATGATTTGTCATTACAAGTGTACAGCTATGTGAGTGGTGTTATTAAGAGTGACCACGGTGAATATATATGAAAGATATTAATAAAAATGATGTTAATTCAGCCAGTGCACATACCTCTATTTGCTTCCTGTTTTCAGGCGAAGCCCACAGTAGTCGATTGTCGAGTTCACGCGCGCGATCATAAGTGAATATCATCTTAAACCTCTGTGTGTTCAACATCTGATTCGGATGAACTATCCATTTGAGCTGATATTCTCAGAACACCACACAGTGGTAGGTTTGAGACGATATAAATGAACTCGCGTGTGAGATCGACAATCGACTACTGTGGGCTTCGACAGAAAACAGGAAGCAGAGGTATGTGCGCTGGCTGAATTAACATCATTTTTATTAATATCTTTCATATCTACTGCAGTCAGATTGACCGTGGTCACTCTTAATAACACCACTCACATGGCTGTACACTCGTAATGACAAATTAAGGATGTTAAGAGGCTAAAAGCAGGTTTAGACCATGCCCCATTGAAGTCAGCAGGGTGTGAATTTTAAAAAGATGATAACACAGTGTAGGCAACACCGATTTTTGTCTGTACTGACAGCACTCCAAATGTACAAAAAAATTAGCTCAATGTTAAAATTGACCGGAGTTGTCCTTTAATTTGGCCCCAGGGCCCGTTTAATGTTTAATACCGGGTTTTGGTTACTATCCCAACGTATGGGTGAGTTCATATGGATGAAGGTCTGTTGTGTTCGGTCTCTTGGTTTGTGGTAGTGGCAGCTATTGTGAAACTCACCTTTGTCATGTACTGGGTGTGGATGGCATCAAGATCTGGTCCTGAAGAATCACAGGGTCAAATGATATCTCATCTGGTAACAAGAGCATAGTAACTTTAGAAACTCCAATGATATCTTTACCCCCTGATATTGCATTGTGGATATAAATTCAAACATTTAAAGGCTAAGAATATGAGCCATGAGTAAACTGGCCAGATATCTGTGAAAAATAACTTGCGTGCCTAAAGTTGCTGACCCCCTGAATTCAGCATTTAAAAGTTAAAAGAACTTTAGTATTTATCATTAAAAAAACACATGAAAATAAATAAATACCTTAGCGCTGGACAGTATGGTGTCTCATTGGCCAACATAATTAAAAACACACCTAGAGAATATACCAATGACCATGATATCCTGTTATCATAATAGTTAAATTAATTATTATAACTTATGACCATTATAACATTATATTATTTTGCCAGCTATTATTATTTAGCCTACAGGCTTCTCAAGGACAATATCACTGAAAAAAAACTGGGGTTAATGAGTGTGAGACTTCATTAAAAAGCATAAATCCTACAGACCCCAAACTTTTGAACAGTATGTTTGAAGTTTTGCTTACTAGTCGAGTTCATAGCCGTGGAGGTTGTCTTGGGACAGGGCTGTAGCAGGACATCATGATGATTTTCTAGACTAGAATATAACATGCAATGTGTCACAGAGCCAACAATGTTACATAGGATTTGCAATAGAACAAAGGGTTTATTACAATGAATCAAGCTAGAGATGCAATGCAGAAAAGAGAAAAATAATATAAAATCTTAACGTAATGTATTGTGCAATAAATGTATGAAATTATTATCATGAAACAATAATTCCCCCTTTGTTGTGGAGGTTTTTTTTCTGTCCCTTCTGAAATCACTTTTATTATCAATCTTTGTAAGTGACGTCACTGATCAACAGTACGTTACAGTGTGAATTCTTTCAGGCTAGCTAGCAATTAGCTAATTTCCAATAACCCATTGACAAATTACCAGCAAAACAAAACTATCAAAAACTGTTATCAACACAAAGATGTGGATAAAACCCCAAACTTATGTAAAACAAGAGCTAACGTTAACTTAACTTAACGTTACCTATTCTGAAAACAGTTGAGATGCTAACGGACTTTTTCGAAGACTCAAAACCTTTTCTACAAAGTAAATATTCAACAGAAGCGTATCAATTATACGTAAGAAAGGTGTTAGGAACGTTTGTATGTATTATTTGTCTGATTTTGTTAACTAAACTTACCTGAAAGCAGTGGAAAAACAGAGAGACGCTATTTTTTGCTGTTTGTCAGTTGAAGAGGTTTCCTCGTTTCCATGGTTTCCATCTGCTCGCGTGCGCTCCTGTCTTTGAACCGGACAACTTTGAATGCGACTCGCACGCGCGTTGAAACCATAACAATTCAAAAGGCACGCAGCATTTAAACATCTAGAATTATAACATGTAACAATTTAAAATATCATTCATTTTATATCATGAATTTAAAAATCATTATGTAGTTCTATGACCCATGTAATATTATTTTTTTCATTAGAATATGAAAGCACTAAAATGCTATATAAATGAAAGTTGGTAATGAAATTACGCCCAGTGACGTCGCAGTTTCGTTTGTGTCTGTTTGGGCTCAGTCGTTACATCAGTGATGTAGGCCTATTTATTAGTATCAATAATATATAATTTTATTATGATAAAATGCATCACTGATGAATACCAAAACAAATCAGTAAACCATTGTATTGTTTTTATTGTGACAAATAAGTTAATTTTATTTAAGAAATATGGAAACACTTTCTGTGCAGTCCATACTTATAATGATTTATAGCACCATTTATACTTATTTATGAGCAATATTACTATTGTATAAATATATTCATAAAGACTCATTAAGACCTACTGCATTACAATATATAGTTACATCTATATTTTTTTATAATTCCTTATAAGTCAAAAATTTGTTTTTAAATGCACATGCTCATAATCCATTATATGCAGTTTTAGTTAATTATGGACTGACATTTCACAGGATCGTTAAATAGTTTGATTAAGCTTCTAATATTAAACCTTCTAATGTTAAAACATTTGACTGTTAAACAACTTAACTTTGCATGGGCTAACTGCCTCGGGCCCCATGTGGGTTTTCTGTGGGCAAACCCACAGTGGGTTGCCAACAGTAAACCCTCATGGGGGCCCAAATGGGCAAAACTGCTATGGGCCCCGCATAGGCTAACCCACTGCGAGCCTGTGTGGATTTTCTGTGGGCAAACCCACAGTGGGTTGCCCACAGTAAACCCTCATGGGGGCTCAAATGGGCAAATCTGCTATGGGCCCCGCATGGGCTTACCCACTGGGGGCCCTTGAGGGGTTTCTGTGGGCAAACCCACAGTGGGTTGCCCACAGTAAACCATCATGGGGGCCCAAATGGGCAAAACTGCTATGGGCCCCGCATGGGCTAACCCACTGGGGGCCCGTGTGGGTTTTCTGTGGGCAAACCCACAGTGGTATAATGCCCTTTTATCAAGATGTAAAATAAATCTCGGTACTGTCCTGTTATCCGGACCCCACGATGACCTACCCCTAACCCCGCCCCTAAACCTACCCGTCACTGGGGTTAAGACCAATCAGGGAGGACTATAGTTCCGAAATGGTTTATGGTGGGGTCTGGATAACAGGAAAGAACCTAAATCTCGGATGTCCTCATAGTGTGTATGTGAAGTTTTAGCTCAACTGTCACTTTTTGAGGGTTAGCAAAATGCATAATTTTGTGCCTGCATGGCCCTTTAAATGCAAATTAGTTGCAGCTCTGACACAATGGGCGGAGGTTCAAGAGTGTTTGTGTTAGCGGCTCCGATTTAGCAGACACAGGCTAAAATGTCAGAAACTGTTCTGCCTTTTATGTTTAAAGGGGAGTTAGACAAAGATGGAGAGACTCAAGAAGAAATGGCAACATGTAGAATACAACAGGACACCTCTGAATGGTTGATGAATGTATGTTGCTGATGTGTGTTAACATATTCTTTCAGGATAATCTATAAATCGCTTGTATAGGACCTGTTGTGAGATGCACAATTGCATGTGAAAAGACCACAGTTTGAGCAGACAAACAAATGTGCTTGACTACACCAGCTCTTCCTCTTCTCACCATGGACTCCGTGTTGCCGGGGGCGGGGCTTATGTAAATTTTGGGGTTTGTGATGTCATTTACCCAGGAGGAAACTTGCATAGTCCCTACCAGCCCTTTGTTGTAGTCCTTAAAAAACGATTTCTTTAAAAGCAAATCTCCCTTTGCTTTGAACTTTGAGCACTGTAACTTTTTCAGATGTTGTTTACTCTCAAGCAGCAACACTATGAACTAACTAAAGCTAGAAAATTAAAATCATAATCAACCACACCTTTAATCACAAAATTGTTAAAGCTACAATGAGTACTTTTCACCGCTAGGGGTGGCTAACTTCTTACGATAACAAAGCCGTAAATTGATGACACGGTGAATAAGCGGAATCACGGAACTTGTGGGATATTACGTCAGTGACAGGTGACAAGTGACCAGGGAGTCCGGGGCGAGCCATTTAAAATGGGAATTTCTCTGAAATTAAAAATCTTTGGGAACTTTTGGGATATTGTAAGTATACAACTGCAGGAAATAATCATATTTACATTTACAGGATTGCAGGATACGTACATTAAGGCAAAACAAGTTTGGTTTTGAGGGTAAATAAAGATAGTCTTTCATTTTGTTGAGTATGAGCCTATATCTTCAGTAGGGTTTTAGCAATTCTGTTAAAGTCTATGTCTGCGCTGTCATCTGTATATAAAATATATACTGACCTGGATTAAACAAGAAACCTAAGAACTGATGAACAATTTGACTGTAAGCTGAATAATGAAGTGGAAAGCAAATCCTGTTTGAACACATTTAAAACTCCAGTGTACTTTAAAACAGAGTTTAGTTATGCCGATTAACTAGTAAACTTTATTCAGTGTCACATTATCAAACATTCAACTGTAATCATGATCATGCAGGATGTGTTGAGGTTAAACAGGCTTTCTTTGTTTTGTTTTGTTTCACTTTCACTGTCATGTGATCTTTCCACGCAAGAATGATAAATGAGGGCCATTCTGACTTGATATAGGCCTTTGTTCCTTCAACTTATGTTTCCTTGTAATATGGCTCAATGTCCACTAGACTAGAGGGTAAAATGAGAGAGCAGAATGAGTTTCAAAATGGGAACAGGACCGAAAAAAATGGGGATTTCAAAAGCTTTTTAATGGCACTTTGTGTTTTTATTTTATAAATGCCCATCCTATACCTATCATTGAAAATTACTCCCCCTAAAAAGTAAAAAAAATAATTAGTATAAAGGTATGTGATAATTTGGCATTTTAAGATTTCTTGCGTGTTTCGTCATGCCCAGCTAGTAAATGTCCTGGACTAGTTACACTCTCTCTGTAATACTTGTATTTAACTCTAAATATTTTCACCAGCTAGAGTGTGCGGTTTACACTAGCAGTGTTAATCCCTTGAAATTCAACACCAGGAAATTAACACTTTACTCTAAGAGTCCTTAACACCAGGATTTCAACTGGGAGATGTTTTGACATGCTCTGACATTTGTGCTTTTTTCAGTTGCTTATAAACCTATTAATGGCACGGGTAAAATTGCACTCTATTTAGCACAAACAGGTCTACCATAATATGTGAGCAACATGTACATGTTTGTATTTTTAAGAGCATCTTGTTTATGCATGGTTTTTGAAAAAAAATAAAGATTCTGAATTATAAAGTATCGTTTTTTTTAAAGTAGATTAATCAATTTTATCATATTTCGAAGTTAAGGATTCATTATTATTAATTTTATTTAGCTTGCATTGGAACAAACACTATAACAGTTGATTAGTTTATCTTTGATAAAACACGCTATGTATTTAACTTATGAGCAGAAACTGTCTAACAAAAGCTTATTTGATGTCTATTTTAGAGGAAAAACTTTATAATGTATCCAAAACTAGTCAATGAAAGGTTGTCATTACAGACGCTATTCTATATCGTGATCAGAGCAAATTTCAGTAGGCTATAGCAATATAGTTTGGATGTGTTCATGTAAAATAACGTTTACTAATGTTGGAGCGAGAGTGAATGAACACACAGATGCAATGTACATCTGTAGTAAAAAAAACATTGCACGGGCGTCTGCCATTCATTCATTCATTCATTCATACACAGACACACAATTCAATTCGCATTTCTGAGGTAACTTCCAGGTACTTCATTTAAACGAAGAGAATTTCAGCTTCAAAATGAGAAATCTTTTGTGTCTCTGTGACAAGTATTTGCTGAGGTACAGCTCATTTTCAGACCCGTTTCAGAATGAACTTCACTGACAGAGAAAAGGCAAAATGAGCTTTTTAGAACTGTATATATACTGTATAATATGAATCCCCTCAAGTTTAATAAAATGACTTAAGCGTCACACTCGTCCGCACACAAAACGTATATAAATAAACATTCAACTCTAGTCACAAATATAAAGGGAAATAAAATAAAGAGTACAAAAGTTGGTAGAACGGTTATCTCTTCTCTTCACTTGTCAAATCTATGCAGTTCTCAGTGTACCTCAAATTACCATAAAAGCTCAAAGTGACCGTTACCCTGTTCATGCAAACATTCCCGAGATGTGATGTCCACCGATGGTGTTGGCGGGCTCAAACTCTGGCCGAATTCGTAAACCCCCAATGAATGCACGCACACAAATTCTGGTTGATGTAAATCTGTTTACTGTTATATGACAAACGTCCTCCTAGTGGCTGTGTTTCACAGTGCAGGCATAACTCAGCCACAGTGTGACTACACAATGCAACTGCAGTGTTTCTTCTAACTAAACATTTCTACAGTCCCCACACAAACCACGCTACAACATGGAATTAACAACTGCTGCTGATTTCAGAAGAATTCACAATTAAAATCCTAACTTTGTTACACATATAGGCTACAGTACTTCAAAATTCAAAATTTTCCTTGATTCACCTCTTATCTTCTATGCATTCGTTCATTGTCCACCAAAGAAAAGTTTAGACAGACCAGCTCTCAGATAACTCAGAGCGTCTTTATTGGCTTCTTCAGCTTCAGCGGTTCTCTTCATTTCCTCCAGCTCTCGGACCCAGTCTTCTTTCCCAGCCTCCCTCACTCTGGGGATGAAGAAGTCCAGATGCTGAAGAGTGAAGGCCGAGTCTGGCTTTAATGCGATCTGAGACAGATGCTTGATGTTCTTGTAAGCATCGAACAAAAGAATTGACTTTTGGTCCTCAAGCTCCTTCAGATCTTGACTGAGATAATCCATCACAACTGAAAATCTCTTGGACAGTCTTTGAGCTTGTTCATATTCCTTTTTTATGGAGTCAAATTCCAACTGCATGCTTGAGGATTTGATGATGTATTTCTTGTTTTCTTTGACGTGTTTGCTGTGGTGACACTTCCCTGTGCACACGGTACAGTAGCCTTTTTGCATGACTTCACATTTGCTGGGATTAGAAACCCACCAGCAGTCAAACTCATGGCAGTTTTCCTCACAGACGGTGCAGGTCGTCGCCTTCCTGCTCTTCCATGAAGCGCTTTCAATGGTAACCTTCTCTTTGACAGTCTTTTTGACGTTAATGGTAAAGTTTTTACACTCATCAATCTTTTCCTTGTTTTGTCTCATTGCCTGCTGGATCTGAAGTTTTTCAGACTTCTTTGACTCTTTCTCGTGAACTCGCAGCTTTAAGTTGCAGATGGACGCTTCTAATCGAATGCGCTCAATCAGGACATTTGAAGTCAACTCCAAACTTCTTCTGTTCTTTTTATCCAATGACTGCATTAAATGCTTCATGCCGTCCATGCTGTCCTCCCAGGCGTCTCTCTGTGCACGAACGTGACGCTCTCCAGTGTGACGGGCGTCCGCCTGCCGGTTGTTGAATAAGAAATGAACAGGCTGGTTCTTGTGGTCTCGTCTGCAGGGGATTCTAGCTTTATTAATGGCGCCGAGGACGTTTTGGGGTGGCAGACCATCAGAGTGTGTGATTAGAAACACAATGTTGTTCACAATGTCTTTTCCAAACAAAGACAGAATTGAACTGATGATGTAATGCTGTCTGTCCGAAAGGCGATTCTTAGACGCTTGAGTCACAAAACACACAGCGTCGACTACATGAACTCCGTCATTGCTCTGAAAGAGCATAGATAAATTCTCAGCAACTTCCAGATCTTTTTCCAGTCCTCGAGTGTCTCCGTATCCTGGAGTATCAATGATGGTGAGAGATATGGGACTATTTATTGGACAGACCTCATACATGGTGATTTCAGAGGTTTGTGATTGTGATTGGTCTCTGGCTTCTTCTTCTGTGATTTCATACCACAGTTTTTCCTCAAACTTCACTCCCAGTAAGTAGTTGACCATGGTGTTGATGAGAGTCGTCTTCCCAACGCCGGTCTCTCCCACCAGCAGAACAATTTTGTTTGGTTTTGTGTTGTCTTTCACCCCATAAGTCCATTTTCTGACTTTTCCATGATCATCAAGCACTTTTCTCTCTGTGTGTAGAAGGAATCGCTTTGGAGGACCTCCATGAATCAGAGTTAGTCTGCGTGGTGGAAGACACGGCCTTCTGTAAAATGCAGATGGAGGACAATATTCATCAGAATATTTATATAGGAAGAATTTAAGATTAAATACCCATCAACCATTTTGTGATTGTCAAATGTAAATATTTATTTAATACTTTTTTAACATGAACATATGAAATTAAGGGGTCAAGTACAAAGAATCTACAACAAATCAGGACATCATGGCATGAGACCAATTGCTAAATCTATCAACACGAAATCCATTTGTCGGCACAGTCTGAAGATGATAATATTACGTATTGGTGAAAATCAAACAATAGGTCTAGGAGGCGTTCAAAAAGCAGGTTTTTGAAGAAAATCAAATCGGCCGACAGGAAGTTCGGCCTACTATGGCAAAATTGGTAAGACTCAAGGGATAAATTAAGACCAGTTTCATTGTGATAAGGTAATATAATCAAAAGTTGTTATCATTTAGAAAATTTGAAAAGTTCCTTTAGCGCGTGGTGCCGATGGAAAATACTGAGTTTTGTAATGATACACCAATGCATTTGTAAAATATAGCAATTTATGTCAGAATACTGTATTGTAGTTAGTGTCAATTTCATGTATTGTTTAATTTTAGCACTTTTCCACTGCTCGGTACCCCAATACATAAGCGTGTGAAATTTGATGAAAATTTCTCATTTTGGTTTGGAGTTATAGACATTTATATCTATGAGAACATAAACAAAGACCCATGGCCAACTTTGTTTGCATTTTTTGCCACTTACCATAAAAATATTATATGGTCAACGACATATGTTTCCGATTTTCCTACGGTGCTTTCATCTCGTTTAGACTAAAGTTTTCGAAGATATTCCCGAACGTTGTTTAAGTGCTCAATCACAATGTTGCACAAACCATAAGGCGAAACCAAGCATGTTGGTATCATTGGACTTAGCAATGATTCTGGATTTTAAGGAGATGAATACCATGAAAATAAATCAACCAAATTCAAAGTTATTGACCAGATAATTTTGCCGTGCTTACAGCACCACTACTGGTGCGGAGATATGAGAAATGGCTATTTTTGCTTAACTTCTGAACGGTTTGTCCATAAAAGTGGTCTTGTTTGATTAGGGTGGAATGCCAAATCTAATGATATCCAATTTTCCCATATTGGTCATCAGCCATTTTAAATATTTTAGTAAAATGCTGCATTTCATGAACGCAATAGCGTATTGTTACGAAACTCATTATCAGCACGATGCCCTTAGAGGGCACAAAAATTTTAGAGCCAGCGCCACCTAGTAGTAAAATCAAATATTCATATGGTTAAAATTGGAGCAACGGCCTAGGAGGAGAATTTTTTATTTTTTTTGAAAATTCAAAATGGCAAGAAAAATTCATGATGGAAAATTACGTAATAGGGTGCAATCGAATTGTCTTGAATCAGTGGAAAAAGAGGAACTCCAAATTTGCTATGGTGAAAGTTAAGAACGTCCTCTATCAATGTGCCAAATTTCATAACTTTAAACCAGACAGTTCTATGGGCTGCCATAGACTTAACGGAAGAAGAAGAACGTCAACGGATAATAATCTAATAGTAACATTGTTTTAACCTGGGAAGTTCCTCATAATATTAGCTTATAAAAGATCAACAATTACCTCCATCCAGACCAGCCATAATACAACAATTACATTTTAGTTTAAACCCTTATATTATAATAATTGAGAACATTCTCTTACGGCGAATTGGGACCTTGATTGAAGCTCGTGACGCGCTTACAGGGTTTTCTGGGTAATGCCATTGTGACCGGGGTTAAAGGGACCATCCACCAAAAAGGAAAATTCTTTCTTCATTTACTCTCCCTCATCTTAACTTGCTCTGTGGAACACAAAAGAAGATATTTTGAAGAAAATTGGAAAACAAGCAACACTCATTGACTTTCTTTGCACGGACAAACACAAATGTTGTGCCTAATTCTGAGGTTTTTGATCAAATAATAAAATTAGCTTACTTTCTTAGTCTGTTTTCATGTAATAGTGCACGAATAGCCTAAAAGATTCAGTTAGCTAGCTAAATTCAACTAATTAAAGTAAACCATTCACATTAATACAAACATTCACGCTTTGCTGATTTTGTCTGTTGAGTTGAATCTCTTTTAAATGTGAAGAATAATTAATGTAATATAGCCTGTATAGTGGTATTTTGAATTAGTTGCATTTGTTTTCTCAAATTGAACCTATGCTCATACCGGTTGACACGATTAACCGGTAAATACTATGCATTGTTTTGTTGTTTTTTTTATTACACATTTGATGTAATATTTCTACGTTTTGTGTCTTTTCCCTGTTGTAGTTTGTTTTCTTTGCTCTTTCTTTATCAATGTTCACTTGTCTTCAGCAAGAGTTTTTTTAGGCTAGTATTGTTTTTTTTAAATGATTATGAAAATAGTGATAAGAATTATGAAATTTCAAAGGCATCAAAAAATTGTATACCATAAAAACCTTATTTAAAGCAAAAATAACTATATTGTGATTTATATATACTGTTAGCGTGAAATAAAATGACTTATACGATTTTTGGTCATATCGCCCACCCCTATACACACACACACACACATATATAAATTATACATACAACAAAATTAAGGTAACAACAACGATAGATTGCTTTAAAATGTATTAATAGTTTTAAAAATGTTCTTTTTTTTCTGAGAGAGAATTTCTTTGATACTTACACAATTCGAGACCATGTTGTTGTGGAGTTTCACAAACCTCTTCATGAGTCATGAACCAGTCTCAAGAGTGATTTTTTTTTTAAAAGAATGGGACGTCTCTCCTACTTGTCTTTCCAGTAATACCAGTTTGTCACATGATTAAAAGGAACACGAGCGGGGTGGTTTTATTTATCTGATACATTTTGGGAAATCTGTGAAAGCATGCAAAGTTAATTTTAAAATGTACGAAACTGAATTGTGGACTAATTCAACAATTGTACTTTTCTTTTTACATGTGAAACCCATTGTACATGTAGTGAAGGGTTTGAAACTGTGTGTCTAAATTTGTTGCTAATTTATCCGTGGCTTATTATTATGAATTCTGTTTTCGTGGTTTCATCTTCCGCAGTCTGGTCTCTTGACGTCATGTCGCTGCTAGCGTTATTACCGTAAATCAGTCAATTTAATGTCTATGGAATTCTAAGTATGTTTTCCTTGTTGCTTCTTCATTGTTTCAGACTGCACTGCTTATGCGTTTGGTTTAACTCATTCGATTTTCCCGATTTTCTCAATGTTGATTCTTAAACCGTGCATCATCCAGCTGGTTCTGCACATTGGTGGTGATTGAGGAGATTCCCTCCTTCATTGTAAAGCACTTTGAGTGTAGAGAAATGCCCTATATAAATGTAACAACAACAACTCTATTATTTATTTTTGTTTGCTTAAATACAAACACTGTGTCATCCTGATTATGTTTCCTGTCAGCATCTTTCACATTGTTGGTAAGTGCTAAAAATATCTAATGCTATCGGTACAGTTGTTTCCTTGTGCACACAGGTTTCTTTGCGTTTCAGGTGTGGTGGAATTTTCTTCACCAACTGGTTAGTTAAAATGTTTGCCCCTTCATAACTTTGCCCCGGTAGCAAAGACCAGGAGACTTTGTAGTATCTTCACCAGGATTCTTTATTGAGAACACAAGCTGCAGTCATCTTTAAGTCTTACAGTGCTGCAGTCATCGAAATCTCACCCAAGTCTGACTAAGGAATATGCATTGTAGTTGATATACCTTTCAAAGGGGCCCTTACATAGAGGTGGAGACACTCTGAAACAAAGTATGTAAATGAGGTATACAGGTTTAGGACTGCCTAAATGTGTAACACTACAATCCACAGAACCTCATCTGCTTTAGGCTGAAGCTAATTACCTGCTCTGTGTGCACCAACTCTTTCGCTGCTTCATCAGCCTTCTGTTCATCCCTGCCACAGAGGAGATTTATGTTCACATAATACTGCCAGTCCTCTGCTTTCTTCGGTTGCTGATTATTAATGAACTTTCTGTTTGGATTACCATGTGGTCAGACTTCTGAGTACAATAGTGATTCTATTAAAGAACTGGAATTGTCACCCTCACAATTAAAGGGATGCTCCACTTTTTTGGAAATAGGCTCATTTTACAACTCCCTCAGAGTTAAATAGTCGAGTTTTACCGTTTTTGAATCCATTCAGACGATTTTCTGATATTTAGAAGAATATCAGTAACCAGATCGTTTCTGGTCTCATTGACTTCCATAGTAGGAAAAATATATACTATGGTAGTCAATGAGACCAGAAACTGTCTGGTTATAGATATTCTTCTAAATAACAGAAAATCGTCTGAATGGACTCGAAAACGGTAAAACTCGACTGTTTAACTCTGGGGAGTTGTAAAATTAGCCTATTTCCAAAAAAAGTGCAGTATCCCTTTAAGTCCTCTATAACCACATCACACTTATATGCATCATGTCGTCTGTATTCAAATCCCTCGTGTCACTAGATAAGACATTTGCATAGTGACCGCTTATGTTTTATTTTGTCTGTCTGTGAACAATTTTACAATTGCTTCTCACTCCTGAAAGATGGGTCAGTTCCCAGTTTATTTGGACCAGCTTTGCACCACAGAATCACAGCCTGTAAGTATGAATAACTATTGATGTATATATATATTCTACTGGGTGTTCAAAATACATAGTTTTGTGTTTTGTATTGTGTATGTCTCCAGCTAACTCATGTTATTACTGTCTTACTGAAATACTTCTGCTAATTAGCGGTGGGCCACAGAGGAGAATTGGTTACACCCAGCCAGGGGATTCTGAAGGTAAGACATGTAACAAGTACAGTTACATCTCAATGCATAATTGTACGCATTTATAATTAATTTAATACTATGATAACATCATAGAAACCCCAATAGGACATAGCCAACATAAAAACGCATCAAATATATCTTAGTAATGTCTTTATATGAGGAAGTTCATCTACGTTTTGTCTGTGTGAGTGGATCTTCCAGTGACATCTGGTATGACATCTGGTACTTCAAGTTTGAACGTTTGGAAAAAGGTTAAAAATGTACTGTATATATAAAAATGAGGAAGGCTAGATTTTTTTTTCCCCACGGCATCTTTTAATGTGACTTTCATATTGCAAAAACAACAATTAGTTGTCAACTCCTGGGATATACAAGTCCTGTAAAAACAACTATGTACAGAAAGCATTGATTTCTCATTGTAAGCAGCAGTCTTTTACATGTTCTTTGTTTCATTTGCACTAAATCCAATCATTGATGCTCACCAAGGAACAGTTTAGCTAGACCAGCTCTCAGATAACTCAGAGCGTCCTTATTGGCTTCTTCAGCTACAGCGGTTTTCCTCATTTCCTCCAGCTCTCGGACCCAGTCTTCTTTCCCAGCCTCCCTCACTCTGGGGATGAAGAAGTCCAGATGCTGAAGAGTGAAGGCCGAGTCTGGCTTTAATGCGATCTGAGACAGATGCTTGATGGTCTGGTAAGCTTCGGACAAAAGAATTGACTTTTGGGTTTCTATATCCTTCAGATCTTTGTCAAGATGTGCCATTAAAACCAAATATGTCTTTGTTTGTTCTTGAGCTTTTTCATATTCCTTTTTTATAGAGTCAAATTCCATCACGAAGCTCGAGGTGTTGGCGACGTATTTCTTGTTTTCTTTGAGGTGTTTGCTGTGGTGACACTTCCCTGTGCACACGGTACAGTAGCCGTTTTTCATGACTTCACATTTGCTGGGATCAGAAACCCACCAGCAGCCAATCTCATGGCAGTTTTCCTCACAGACGGTGCAGGTCGTCGCCTTCCTGCTCTTCCATGAAGCGCTTTCAATGGAAACCTTCATTTTAACAGTCTTTTTTATTGTAATGTTGAAGTTTTTACGTTCCTCAATCTTTTCCCTGTTTTTCATCAATGCCCGCTGAATCTGAAGTTTTTCAGCCTTTTTTAGCTCTTTCTCGTGAACTCGTAGCTGTAAGTTGCTCATGGACGCTTCTAATATAATGCGCTCTATCAGGACATCTGAAGTCAACTCTAAACTTCTTCTGTTCTTTAGAGTCAGAGACTGAAGGAAGTCCTTCATGCCGTCCATGCTGTCCTCCCAGGCATCTCTTTGAGCACGAACGCGACGCTCTCCAGTGTGGCGGGCGTCCGCCTGCCGGTTGTTGAATAAGAAATGAACAGGCTGGTTCTTGTGGTCTCGTCTGCAGGGGATTCTAGCTTTATTAATGGCGCCGAGGACGTTTTTGGGTGGCAGACCATCAGAGTGTGTGATTAGAAACACAATGTTGTTCACAATGTCTTTTCCAAACAAAGACAGAATTGAACTGATGATGTAATGCTGTCTGTCCGAGAGACGATTTTTAGACCCTTGAGTCACAAAACACACAGCGTCGACTACATGAACTCCGTCATTGCTCTGAAACAACATGGATAAATTCTCAGCAACTTCCAGATCTTTTTCCAGTCCTCTAGTGTCTCCATATCCTGGAGTATCAATGATGGTGAGAGATATGGGATTCTTTATTGGACAGACCTCATACATGGTGATTTCAGAGGTTTGGGATTCTGATTGGTCTCTGGCTTCTTCTTCTGTGATTTCGTACCATATTTCATCCTCAAACTTCACTCCCATTAAGTAGTTGACCATGGTGTTGATGAGAGTCGTCTTGCCAGCGCCGGTTTCTCCCACCAGCAGAACAATTTTATTTGGTTTTTTGTTGTCTTTTACCCCATAAGTCCATTTTCTGACTTTTCCATGATCATCAAGCACTTTTCTCTCTGTTTGAAGACGGTATCGTTTTGGAGGACCTCCATGAATAAGAGTTGGTCTGCGTGGTGGAAGTCTCGGCTTTCTGTAAAAGAAGGAGGTAAATGTTTTTCAACATATTTGCACAGCAAGAATATATGACTGGAAATTTATAATAAAAAACAGAAATTCAAGATTAAAGCAACAATATGATTGTCTATATAACTTTTTCGCTAACCTCTTACAATACCAAAGCCGTAGATTGATGACCCAGTGAATAAGCGGAATCATGGAATTTGCCATTATGCTGATGGATCTAATAATGTTTATCGATGAGTGAATACATTCATGTTTTTATCATAACTGTGGTGTGAAGCAGGGCTCGATTGCTAATGAGAGACAAATTTCAGCGCCACACAAGAGTCACACGGATATAAAGGAATAAAGTTAAAAGTTATAATATTATTCTATGTGATTGTTGGCTAAAAGAGTCTAGCAATAAGCTAGATCAACCTTACAATAACTGATCATATTCTAAAATTTCATCATGTTGAGCGATATAAAATGTAAAAAAGTGCACCTGTCTAATAAAGCCCATGCAAAAGTGGTGTCTCTGTCAAGTCAAAATTAGCCGCGGACGCTAGCTCTCGCCACAAAACACAATGCCAATATTGATCCTCATAATAGTTCTCTTTTTGTCCCGAAGTCTGCTTGCCATGGTTCATAATGTTTGAACAAAACCACAACAGCGTCAGCGTGCCGCAAGATGTCCACATACAGTATGTTGCCATGGTTACTATGACAGTACAAGTGGAAACCAGGGATATCGCGGATATAACGTCCTTGACGAGTGACAAGGGACGGGGACTATTTAAAATTGTGAATATCTCTGAATTTACAAATTCTTGGGAATATTTAGGATAATGTGAGTATATTATTGACAGACACTGTGCACACAATATAACACAAAATATATATTTTCAAGTCAATTTATTTGTATAGCAGATATCATAATTCACAGTTTCATGATGTTACCAATTTCCTAATTGTCCAAATTTAACATTTTAGAACATTGGCAATAGTATAGTTTACATTTGACATTGACAGACTTATAAACATTCAAGCAGTTGTTTTTTCTGTGTTGTGTGATTTGAGAGTAGGCTAGATATATGTGTAATAGACGTAGACCAGTTTGCGTGTAAACCTAAAAAGGTGTGGTAGTGACTGATGCTAGTGGCTGTGGTCTTTAGCGTCCTTATTAGTGCAGAGACCCCCATTAGAATTGGACCGGTTGACTTTGGTGCCGTGACCCGGATGGGTTTAGGGGGTGAGTGTAATGGATGTATGCCCGGAAGAGCTTTGCATGTAAAACCTCACTCCCTTGGTCTCAAGAAGGACCCTAGAGACTCTGATTTTCAGCATCCATGTTAGTGCCTCCCACGCCGGAATACCCGGTTTGAATCCCGACTTCATATACAGATATGAAAATGTACACGTTTAATTGATTCTTTTTTAACACAACCATAATAATGTTCCAAGATACATTGTTTTATACAGGAAAGCCCCTCTAAATACTTATCAAATCACAGGAAAGTCAGTGTAATGAAGGGTTAAAACTGTGTGGCTACATTTTAAATAACATATTAAAATACTACTGCTGTTTTTTCTCCATGGCTTGACTTGAGAGTAGCATGCTACAGTAGGATTTTATTCTGAAATCAGCCTAATCGCGTAGTTTAATCAGCCAAGGTGTGGTGGTATCGACTCTTGACGTCATTTGCGGTTTTTGTGTTATCTGCATTTAGCATTTCCGGTTGGTAGTGGAATTCTGAGTATGTTTTCCTTGTTGCTACTTCATTATTTCGAATTGCACTGCTTATGTGTTTTGATTTATCCAATTTTATTTATTATAGCTTTGCCAAAAATATTGATTAACCAGCCCAATTGCTATTTAACTGCAGATCGGTTACAACAAAAAAGCTAAAAGTTGGAAATGAATAAAATTTTTTTTTTATACATATTTGCCCTATATTTTAAATGCATTATATATTTACTTAACCTAAATAACCTAATTGTTTAATATAGAATAAATCTCTCATAAAGACTTTTTTTCCGATTTTTTTTTTTTTTTTTTTTTTTTTTTTTACAATGTTACATATAATTCAGGACCGAACTAACCTCTTAACAGCCTTTAGTTTTTAAGATTTGGTTTTAAAATAAATCAGATATGACCACTAGATTATTTTCAACACAAATACTGTACTCTAAATTTTCTATTTAAAAATATTAAAATACATTATTAATCACAGCCTCATAATTCATAGCACTGACATGTTTGCTGTTTTTAATCAATGATCTAAGTTAATTAGCCATAAGAAAGTATGTCAAAGCATTTTTTTTTCTGTTTTGTGCAAAGACCATTCCATCCACCAGAGGGCGCCATAAACACATTACAGCCTATGAGAAAATACACACCATTTTAGCGATTAATTATTTTAAAAAAATAATAATTTAAAGTACATGTATCCTGTAGAAAACATGAATTTCATCTCACCCGGTATTCATGGTGATCGCTGGACTAAATGCGTCGACCTCTCAGAAGACTCAAACTGAGCAAAACAATTCAATCCTTTCTGGAAGAATATGATGTTTTTAATTTTTGTATTAAATATTTATTACCAACTAAAGCCAAAATATTTAGAGGCACAATTTTGCTATTAATGCAAATCCCTACACACCAGTCTCTGCTGAATTGTCAGCTTTGACGGAAATACTGGTTTATTTATAAGTCTAACAAGCTAAAGTCCCTCCCAGTGTCTGAGTATCAATCAAATGCTAGGAACGACATATTTATGAGTGTATAAGCAGAAAAGTGTTCTCCCTCTAGTCATTTATTCATACAGTTTATGGATTTGTGTAATTTATAGACTGTGCATGCTTACAGAAATTGACCCGTGTACATATTTGATAAAGTTCAATATAGTTTTCAATGTAAGCAGCATTTGAACAGCAACAGATAGATTAATGTCAATTTTCTTGTTTTTCAAAACATTTTTATAATACATAGCAACCGAAAGTCTAGAGTAAAATAAACAATATATCATTAGAAAGCTACTTTACTGCATGAAACTCTTTTTTTTGTGTGTGTGTTTGAGTGTCAAAGTGATGTCAGTGCCATTGTCTTGTCTCAAGATGCACACCAGTAATGTTTTTGTCCGGCACGTTTTATATGTCGTATTTAAACTAAGGCCTAATTCTGGCGTAATCTAAGCGCTGTCTGTGAAACCAGGCCTTATTTTATATATATATATACATATATATATATATACACTACAGGAATGTCAAAAAATCAGATTTCTTGCTTCTTGAGAAACATAAACTGTTGGATCATCTGGGACTTTCTGACTCTGGGATATTGAAACAACTCATACAAATTTGTGTAACAACTTCCAGTTATTTTTACTTGTTGGAACTTGAGAAATGTAACTTGACGAGTGATGTCGGAATAACCTCAGCGAGTTACAGTAAACACTCAGTGCTTATAAGGAAACACATTTCTTTGATATTAAAGGTGCACATGCAAGTTTTCTCTATTTTTACAGTATGTGCTAAAGAAATGCATATAATGTGGTTTGGTTTCACAGCTGTGATTGTGTATTTCATTACATCAGTGTCCAAAAAAAGTTGTTTTATTCTACATAAAACACATACAGTAAAGTTTGATCAGATCAGACTTAAAATGCACTTTAGTTATGTTGATTTAAACATGATGTCCCCCTTTCTATAACATTAAAGCCGTCCATGCATGTTTTTAGGATTTCAGAATGAAAGTTTTGCAGCTTCAATGTCAATTTTGCAAATAGTTTATTTTCATTTTTAGAACATAATCACATTTAAAATGTACATTACTTTTAAACTAAATGTCCATTTGAAATTTTTAAAGTGAAATATTTAATAAATAACTTTTAAACAAATTGTTATTTAATGTTTTAGACCTACTAACTAACTATAAGTGACCATGCAACTACATGTCAACTAGCAGTGATTCGAGTGTTAGGTTAGGGTTTGTGTAAGTCGACTTGTAGTTAGTGGAATGTCTGTTGAGAGCATCAAAATAAAGTGTCACCTTATTTATTTATTATGTTTTAGCTTCTACCTGAAGGAAGTTCATTCAAGAATATGTTTAGAGAAAACAGGTTACATAAGATTCTTTCGGAAGATTCCTAATGTGTGTCATCAGTCTTGGAAACTAGTTTGCATGTTGATTGTGTGTGTGTGTGTGTGTAAACAGGGAAAAAAAAAAGAGGAAAAAAAAAGTTTGAGAGAAAAAGTTACCACACTGAGAGCAAAAAAAGCATTTCATGAAAGAAAAAAATAATATTTGATAGAAAAAGTTTTCATTACAGTAGCAAAAAATAATATCTGAGACTAAAAAAGGTTTTAAAAAAATATATAAATTTGAAATGTTCAAAATATTTCTCTAAAAAAAAAAGTGTTTCTCAAATGCTTTTCTTAACTCGATGCAATTTCTTGCTCTCCTTTTTTATTTTTTTAAACCCAATTTACAAAATATCTCGTTATGTGCGGAACATAAACAGTTAAATAGAACAAATTTCGATAAAGAAAACAAATACAAATACATTTTTCGCTCTAGTGTCAGGATTTTGCTTTAGCTGTGAAAATTGAGTCATGGGCGTGGCCACATTCCTATTGGGCATCGTCTTGTCTTGGGAGTCGAACTGAATCATTATTACACCATTGTTCGGATCAAAGACGCCGCCTCTGCCTCTATATAATCGGTGGATCGCTGGCTGAGCAAGTTCAGCATCACTGAAGATTAAACATTCAAAAATAGCACTCATATTCATGAATTACTGTGTATTATTTTATTAGCTTGCTAATCGCTAGTAAAGAGTTAGTTCGGTGTAGAAGTCTGCAAGGAGTTTTACTCCTCTTAAGGGAGCTGGTCTCAACCACAACACTGCTTATTCTTATAATGTAATGTTTTCCAATGCAGTTCATTTGATTGTAAACTTGTTTGTTAGAGGAAGTGAAGAGAGAAAACCTTGTGTTGATTTAAAGATGCAAAATTATCCATCTGGACACACAGACACTGATTTCCATTTGGACTTTGTTTCTTTATTTGAATAGCATCGCTGAGCATGAAAATAACCAGTAACTGAGCTCATCCAGAAGCCCATATTAACTATATGGCATTTGTGTATACTTTTATAGGAAGAACATGACAAAAAAACGCAAATTTCTATTAAAACTTTTGGTGGCACATTTCAGCCTCTTTGATCACAGTAACTTGTAAGAGTTTAAAGTTTGTATGCATTCAGGTTGTCTTCCTGTGGCACCTTCCCCATCACGATCTGTCCCTTCTTGATCACTCCTGTCTCCTCCAATGGTGCGTTTGTCTGGGCAGACCATAGTGGATGATGGGGTTCTCCTTGGTTCCACACCACTTTGTGAGAGACATCTTCAATGTCCACTTCACGATTGAGCACTTCAGATCTTAAAGGTGCCATCTGTAAAACTTGAGATTAAAATATCCCAAAAATGAGCTACACGCATCAAAAGAATGAGAAGAAATAAGGTTGATGATGTCATTAAAAAAATGACAAGTTATAGTGCTGCCGAGATATTAACCTGAATCGAGAGCCTAAGTCCCGCCCCTCTGCTTCCGGCTCATGGGACCTTATTTCGGAAAAAATATGAATGGTAGTCAATGGCGAGAGACAATTTATCTTTTTATTCCGTCTGAACTGTGCCCTCAATTACACATATGATGTTTGTCAATTTAAAAGATAATTCTGAAAGTCAAAAACGTCGCAGTTTGTCATACAACAGAAGAGTAACATTTAGTTTTATGTGAAAATCGCTCGGTGAACTACATCTCCCGGGAAGCGAAATGAGATCCGCTGCTCGTGTCTGGTACAAAACACTCGTAACGTTACGATTATAACGTAAGACTGTAGAAACAATGACAGACGTTAGCCTCAGTAAAGTTAGCTTCATTCATTGAGAGAAAATGTGCGCCTTTGGGGTTTGTAGTCTCAACGCGTTCTCATCCCAAAGCGCCATATACGACGCTTTTGCAAAAGCGTAAATATCCAACGCACATGGCACCCTTTAACGTCAAATGAGACGCTTCGGTTATGGTTAAGTTTAGGTAAGGTGTAGGGTAAGGGTTAGACCACTAGGGGGCGCCTTCTGCCCAAATATATCTGCGTCTCATTTCACGTTAAAGGGTGCCATGTGCGTTGGATATTTACGCTTTTGCAAAAGTGTCCTATATGGCGCTTTGGGATGAGAACGGGCTCGTAGTCTTTGTAATTACGTATTTTCACAGTCTTATACCTCAACGGTTTTACATCAAACTGCGACTTTCTTCACTTTAAAATGAATCTTTTAAATTGACAAACATCATATGTGTAATTCAGGGCACAATTCAAACAAGATCAAAATATTTGTTGTCTCTCGCCATTGACTGCCATTCAATATTTTTCCGAAATAAGGTCCCATGGTGGTCGACCGGAAGGGGAGGGACTTAGGCTCTCTATTAGCATGCTAAATTACTAGCCCCGGCCCGGCAGGTGTCGTAATACCAGTTTCGGGCATGGGAGGCGGTGTGCGGGCAGGCAACATTACCATCAGCCAAACTGCAGTACACGAGTAAGTCGGCGGCTTGCGTGTACTTGAACCTGATGTCAGTCGTGTGGAAATAAAGCCCACTACTACATTTCAGTTCAGGGAAGAGTTCAAAAAATGATTGGTCGATATTATGCATGAGGAATACATTTTGGTAAGTTGTAACATACTGTATCTTTCAACAGTGTTCGTATTCTTTTACCATTAGCTAGTAGAGATGATCGGTTCACGTGCGCTAGGGATGTGTCGTCTAACATTTACAAGCGCCAAAACGGTATTTATTGTTTGAATTGCGTAATAAAATTAACAGAATCTGAGAGCTTAACTAACCTGCTTGCTAAGTGTTAATTGCGTGTGTCTCATGGTGAATTCGTGAGAGTTGGCAGCTCTGAATGGCGCTAGTTTGGTCCACATCAGGGAATGCTGTCTGTCAAATTAATTCAAACTAATGATAAAAATGTAACATGAACAAAACGAATACCATAAAACTAGAAATAATAGCCTGGGCTTTAATTTTCCCGTATCGTCGAAATGCACCGACTTGTCTATGAGACGGCCTTTATAATTTAGTATTGAGATGTTGTTCATTGAGTCTCTAATCTGTAAAAATCTCCAAATGCTCCACGTGAAACTGCGGCCTTCCAACCTTTTACTATCGTGTCAATTGATTTGATTAATATGCGCGAGGGAGACAGAGCAACACAAGCGCTCGCCCGTGTTGTTTGAAGACATGAGAGAGCGCGGCCGCGGAGGTATTTCTGGAGGTATACTGCCCCCATCTGGTATGGAATATGGTGTATGATATGATTTTAAATGCCAGAGGGCATTTTTAAAGCCGAAAGGAAATGCGTAGGAACAAATAATGCAACCAGACAAGAAAAAAAAACTATAAATGGGTTGATCTCAGCAAGTGTGGATGGTACATTTAGGGCCAATCCCAATTCTACCCCTTACCCCTTCACTTTCCCTTTCCCCTCCTTTTTGCGCGTCCACGTGAAGGGGTAGGGCTGTCCCAATTCTCTTTTGGTTGGAGGGGGAGGGCTAGGGGGAAGGGCCAGATAGCCCTTCAAACGAAGATTTTTCGGGAGCACACTTCAAACGAAGGGGTATGAGAAGTGTCACTGCTAACCCAGGCTGGCTGCCCAAGCAACAAAGGAGACCCATAAATGTAAGTATTTGCGGCTTTAATAAGTATTGTAACGACAAATAATGATTTGCTTTATGTTACATTCAATATTGTGTTAATATTTACGGTCAGTTTCTTCACAGAAAAAAAAAATAAAAAAATCGCTAAAATTACTGTAGTCTACTAACGATAGTCCCGCAACATATTTTCGTCGTCTCCGTTGTTTCCTGCCAACTTCACAAGATAAATGCAAGAAAATAGCTGTAACCCGCACGACTGAGATAACTGCAGCTGTCGACGGCATCTTGGAAGTTGTGATAAACATCGGCGCATATCCTGTGACGTATAGCGACGACTTATAATGACGTTTAACGGAGGCGTAGTGGTGTCCCATTTTCACCCCTACGCATTGCCACTTTGTTTCAAGGGTCAAGGGGAAGGCGAAGGGGTAGGGCTAGGGGAAAGTGAAGGGGTAAGGGGTAGAATTGGGATTGGCCCTTAGACTCAGGTGATATATAGTAGAATGGTCCCATTTTTAACACTGATTTCTTTGAGTCCTTCGTGTGAATCAGATCAGTGTTTCCTCATTAAAGCATGAAGCTCAGACAGTGGCCGTAGGGGGTAGTGCAGCTGACAGCCTGATGCGCACCAGTGAGTGGATTTAACTCTTAAATATTTCCATTATTGGAAAACATCCCCTTAACATGGCAGCGTGGGGATTTCGTTCCCCAATGTATCTCGGGACGCAGTGCGAGTTCAATTTCGAAAGGTTACCAATGTAACCTATGTTCACCGAGAAACTGCGGTTTTAAATACAAGTGACCAAAGTAATACTAAAACTAAAAAATAAAGACTTGTTTCAAGGTCATGAAATAATCAGGCCTCTCAACATCCCAGACCCCGATGGAAGAGAAGAGCAGATGCTGTTTCTACAAGCATGTACAAATGATCCATTTCCATAAGGATGGTATCAGTTACTGGTTATTTTCCTGCTCTGTGGTGCCATTTAAATAAGGATCCTTATAATGCAGCAAAGTCACAACGGGAATCAGTCTCGGCGTCTCCACACTGAAGGAGGTTTTCCATGAAAGGTAATGGACAAATACACATTTATATTAGGAATAAAGTGAGAATGCTAAATATAAAAGCTTTGAAAGAATAGAGGCTTAAGAAATATTATTTAATAATGCATAAGAAATCAAATCTTTTGTGATATTTATCATATCATACTTGTTTGTCTATTCTTCATATGTCGTATAGATCAATTTAGATATTTTTTCCCCATTTAATCTGACGTTTAAGATTGGAATGTGACTGTTAAATCTTTCGTTCAAGAGATTTGTTCAAAAAACACTGATTAATCTACTGTAGTAATGAAACGAGTCTTTATGATCGAGTCTTTGAATCATTCACTTTTTAAAACATAATTCATTCAATTTAACCCTCTGGGTCCTGTTCTGACATACTCTGACATTTGTCCGTATTTGTGTTAAATGTGACACTTTCGTGGCTTAAGTCTGATTACACTTATTCAGCACAAACTCTGCAACAAAAGTTTGCAGTTTTGAGATAATGACGTTTATGAGATAAAACCCAAACCCATACTGATTATTAACTAGAGAAAATCACGTAACCTAGAATATTTTCTTCAAAACTATGTGTAAATAACACTGTGAAGTCATTCAGTTATAAAAATATATGGATTTAGATATTTAGAAAGCTCTATGCGAGGAGGCATAGATAATCAGCATGAATATTGTAGAGAGATGTAGAGAGCACGCACGTATGGTTGCCAGATATTGAAAAGATCAGGTGGAAAACGTTATTTGAAATCTGGCTACCTTAAGCATGAAGCTCCCAAACACTGCAATGTGTTTTCATCTCCTTTATTAGACAAAAAAAAGGGATTTTGTTTTTTTTTTAACCATCACAAAAATAAGCACTGATTTCAAGATTTGCATTGTAATGCAAAACTAGAATAACAAAGTAACAAAAACAAAATCTAAAAAAGTGTAGGTGATTGTCAAAACATTCATCAAGTTTAGAGACAGCATATTGCCATGTTTACATGCAGCAATGACTGCTAGGCTATTGCTTTTATTATATTAAAACCTATTTATTACAAATTTTACAATTTCAGTTCATTTATTTTGGTTTGATTCTGATCTTGATTCAATATCATATTCATTTGTACTAATAATAAATATTATAACAATATATAAAAAATACACATTTTTCTAGCCAACTAATGTGCTATGGTCATTAAATGTTTTTGTTTTTTTCTGAGCTAAATGTAACATTATAAGGGAATATAGATATATATGATATATGGGAATAAGATGGTGCGACACTGTTGCCGTTTTGTATTCACGGGAACCAATTTTTGCCAGTCTTTCGGGAGTTTATCATAAAATGCAGAGCAGTCCAGTCCAAAATTAAGTCATACAAAAAGCATTGCCTTCATTGTTGTTACACAGATTTTTCATCCGTCCATGATCATTAACGAGAACACACGCTCCACAGCTGCAGATGTACCAGGCAGGCATAAAACAAATTCCACAGCCAAAGATACACATGCTATCACTCAGCAAAAAAAAAAACATATACCGTATATACATATACCGTAAAACTTCAAACAATATCCCAGGCTTTTATTTTTTACAAATCGTTGAACTGCACCGGCTTTTATTTGAGACAGGCTTCTATAAGAGACAGGCCTTTATAATTTAGTGTTGAGATGTTGTTGAGTGTAAGTTAGTCTCTAATCTCTAAAAATCTACAAATGCTCCACGTGAAACTGCGGTCTTCCGACCTTTTTACGATCGTGTCAATTTATTTGATTAATATGCGCGAGGGAGAGAGAGCAAGGCGGCGCACGTGTCGTTTAAAGACGTGAGTGTGCGCGCACCCTCTCTCTGCCTGTTTCAAAAGAGGGTTTGGCGGCAGCCAAAAAGCGAACGATCTGACGGGTTTTAGAAGATTAAATACAGACCGAAACTAAAAAAACAGACCGGCTTTTTTTTAACAACTTGCAGTCACACCAGGCGTGTAAAAGAGATGGGCGTCTATTTGGAATTTTTACTTAAAGGGTTAGTTCACCCAAAAATGAAAATTAAGTCATTAATTACTCACCCCCATGCTGTACCAACCCCCTAAGACCTTCGTTCGTCTTCGGAGCACAAATGAAGATATTTTTGATTAAATTTGAGAGCTGTATAACTACCACATAGACTCCTAAGGGAATGACTCTTGACAGCCCAGAAAGTCAATGAAGAAAATGTTTAAATATCCCAAGTGACTACCGTGGCTCAACTATAAGTTTATCAAGCGACGAGAATACTTTTTGTGCGAAAAAACAAACAAAAATAACGACTTTATTCGACTATTCCTTTTCTTCCTTGTTGGCCTGAAACGAGACTTCCTTAGATTTCCACGACGCATGCGCGAGAATTGCGATCTCCTTCAACTACCTCAGTTCAGTTCTCGTGCATGCGTCGTTATACAGTTATACAGCTCTCAAATTTAATCAAAAAATCTTCATTTGTGTTCCGAAGATGAACGAAGGTCTTACGGGGTTGGTACAGCATGGGGGTGAGTAATTAATCACTTCATTTTCATTTTTTGGTGAACTAACCCTTTAAAATAATGATCAAATACGGGAAAAAACATGATTTTTTTTTTCATAATAAGTCGGGACGATAAACTGTAAAAAAAGATAGACGACGCCCCTTCGCTCTTTTCCATCAGAGAGAACTGTAGCCGCCAGTGTCTGGATATGACGCTGACATCTTGAACTTGAGTCTGCGCACTTGCTGTTTTCGGGACCAGTCATGCGCAGTCGTGAGCAGGAAGTAAAGCCGCGAAATCAAGGCCACGCCCTCATTCTCGCTGAATCAAACGCAAGCACACGCCCCGCACTTTCATTAAGTGTCCTCTGTCTGCTTCGTTCTTCTCCAATGGTGTCTGCTGATTGCAGAACCTCGTTAAAATAAGGTAAACACAACTAACCACATAGTCAACATTATTAAAAAAAGTGCTTCAGCGACTACCTCGCACAGAGAACCTGTCAATCATGATGTCAGAGCACCGTTTTTATCATCACATAACTAACTAAAAACAAACTTATTTTAAAAAACGAACACTTGAAATTACTTCAACGCGATAAAATCTACAGTAAATGATAGAAACTATCTTTGGAAAAAGGTTATGTGAAGTGTAATTTCATTGTTTAGTTGGTCTCGCGTCCCATTGAATAACATGGGGAGGCGGGGGATATGAGCTATACTAGGACCGGTCACAGAGGGGCGATCGAGACGTTTTGGCTTCACTTTTGAGGGCTTGTGTTGAAATACGGGACACTCCCGGGAAAAACGGGATGCCTGGTCAGTTTTGAGTATTGTAAATAGGTGTATTTTGTGTTTTAAGAAGCATTTCTTTATATTTGAGTCCAAGTTCAAACACTAAACGCTACGCTAACATACGGAGCTCTGAAACACTGCCAGCGGGACATTAAACTGGAAGTGTCTGTACGGGCTCACTAGAGTTTTTAAAATAATAATGATAATAATAAATAAAATTTTTATAGCGCTTTTCTAGACACTCAAAGACTCTTTACAGGCAATTCAAGAGAGGTGATGTGAAAAGATGAAGAATTAGGAAAGTCTGTTAATGGGAAAACGAGTTCTGAAGCCGCCTTTCCACTGCACACGACATTCGCATACGATTGTCGCATTTCGTCCCCTAGTGTCAGTCGCACGGAACTTTGAAATTGGCCGTGAAGCAACCGTTACCCTAGGATATTCACAATGGTAAAATTAATGATTTTAATAAATGTAATGGATGCATGAATATATCTACACAAAACAAATGACCCTCAATTCATCTCAAATAAAAATATAGTAGTATAAATATTGGTTTAACCTCCTAAGACCTGGTTGTCCACATACGTGGACATCACATTATTGGTTGTGTGTCCAGGGGTCAGAAAGTAAAAGTCCTGCCATAAGTTTATTCCACCCACAGCAAAAACTCCAGTGTTAAATGAACTTTACTGGGAGTTTCTTTGGATCCAGACTCAAGAGTGTTAAAGTTAATGAGATAATTAAGTGAATAATTGAGTGATGATTGGGATATTATTGAAAACACCTGATGTTAACTAGCAGAATCACTGAAGGAGAAAATCTATATTTTTAGTCACCGTTATGGTGATCAGTGTTTGCTTTAGTTGGGCAGATGACCTTTAAATGCTTTACTAGAGATTTTGTTTAGCTGTTTTAACAGCTGGATGAACAAAGAGATCAGATCAGATGTTCAAGATCATGGTAGGACATAATCATCATTAGATCTGAATCACTGAACTCATTTAAAGCCTACTCTCTGATTTAAAAGTACAATGATCATAACAGCATCACTGTGATTTTATAACATTAGATCCAGATTTTTCAAAATAAACCAAATGATATCTTAAACGTTGTTCTGAAAAATAAAAATCTTTCTTTTAGGCACGCACAGACATCAAGATTCAGTGTATGAATCTCAACAATGGTTACAAGCAGAATATTCAAATAGGGAAAGGAAATTACTAAGACAATTCAGATTATTATTTATTCATACCGCAATGCATGATGGGAGCCATGAATGAGTTTTGATTGGTGGCACCCAGAATGAACTGCAACATGCTATATAATTGTCACCATTGTTGAGAATCACAGGCTGATTCTTGATGTCTGTGTGTGCCCATAAAGTATTTAGAATAGGACAGCTTTTAAGAAATCTTTTGGATAATATTTACATTTTTGAAAATGTTATACTGTGTAATCAAAAAGGTTAAACTCTACAAATGAGTTTCGTGACAAATGATGATTATGTCAAAACATAACCAACCTCAGCGCATCAGCTTTCCTTGTTGTTCATCTGGCTGTTATAACTCATGTACAGCAGCCAAACAACATCTAAAGTTAATGATTTAAGAGTCAAGAGCCCAACTAAAGCAGACACTGATCTCCATAATGGTGACTTTAAAAATGTGACGTTCTCCTTCAGTGATTCTGCTTGTTATCATCAAGTGTCTTCAATAATATCTCAATCATCA